GGCAGGCAGTGGCAGGCAGTGGCAGGCAGTGGCAGGCAGTGGCAGGCAGTGGCAGGCAGAGGCAGGCAGAGGCAGGCAGATAGCCGGATCTACTACTGAGTTCCTGTCCAGCCAAAGCTACACAGTGAGCACCCGTCTCCCTCTTTGCTTTTAAAATTTTTAAAAAGATTTATTCATTTTATATATGTGAATACACTGTAGCTGTCCTCAGACACACCAGAAGAGGGCATTGTGAGGGGTTGTGAGCCACCGTGTATGTGGTTGCTAGAAATTGAACTCAGAGCCTCTGGAAGAGCAGTCAGTGCTCCTAACCACTAAGCCATCTCTCTAGCTTGTACGTACCTGTCTCAAAACAAACAAATAAACGGAGATAAAGTAAGGGCTAGAGAGATGGCTCAGTGGTTAGGAGCACTGGATACTCTTGCAGAGAACCTGGGATTGGTTCCGCAGCACCCACATGGGAGCTCAGAACCATGGGGATTTCTAGATCCAGAGGATCCAGTACCCTCTTCCAGCCACTGTGAACATCAGGCACACCAGAGATGTGTAATTATATGCAGACAAACATTCATACACTTGAAATAACAGCTTAAAAAGAAAACCAAGACAAAACCCTAAACCCTGAAAACGTCCTCAGCATGTTCTCTGACCATAATGGAATCAAACTGAGAATCAATAAGAGAAAGACAACAGGGAGATCTGCAAACAACTGACCACAGAGACCCAAAGCAGAAATCAATCCCAGACAGTTGGCAGGGAAAGCACCAGAAACGGGAAGATTAATACAAGCCAAGAGAAGGACGGAAGGCATTCCTTACTAGAAGTCTTACCTAACTTTACAGCTTGATATAAAGATCAGTATATAATTCTGTCTGTCGGCTGAGGTCATTTACCTAGCTTGTTATAAATATTTGCCATTTTTAAAATAAAATTTCATTTTTTTAAATACTTAGAACTACTTTGGATAGACCAACTACAGTATTAAAAGAGGTATGACAAAAATAATTTTCCCCAACTTACCTATTCCTGTCTGCCTGTTTTTTCTTTTAAATATAAATCATCTTTATTTATACAACAATAGAGAAAAAATCACTAAAGACTTGAAAGCTTTATACAATGGAATAGTTGTTACACAGCTGCTTAGATTTTTTTTTTCTAGAAGCTAACAGGAATGGAGGTATTATACCTAAACAGGCTAATGATTACTGATGTTATAATTTAAATTCCTTTCCCGATCTACCATGCTCATGGATTGGCAGGATTAATACAGTAAAAATGGTCATCTTGCCAAAAGCAGTCTACAGATTCAATGCAATTTCCACCAAAATTCCAACTTAATTCTTCATAGAGTTAGAAAGAGCAACTCTCAAATTCGTTTGGAATAACAAAAAAAACCCTGGATAGCAAATAACTATTCTCAACAATAAAAGAACTACTGGGAGAAATCACCATCTGTGACCTCAAGCTATATTACAGTGTAATAGTGATAAAAACTGCACAGTATTGGAACAGAGACAGGCAGGTAGATCAATGGAATAGAATTGAAGACCCAGAAATAAAACCACACACCTATGGTCACTTGATCTTTGACACAGGAGCTAAAACCATCCAGTGGAAAAACGACAGCATTTTCAACAAAAGGTGCTGGCTCAACTGGCAGTCTGCATGTAGAAGAATGCAAATTGATCCATTCTTATCTCCTTGTACAAAGCTCAAGTCCAAGTGGATCAAGGACCTCCACATAAAACCAGATACACTGAAACTAATAGAGAGAAAGTGGGGAAGAGCCTTGAACACATGGGACACGGGAGCTAGAAAATAGAATCCTGAGTGAGGTAACCCAATCACAAAAGGAAACACAAGGTCTGCACTCACTGATAATGATAATACCCAAATGCTCGGAGTACCCAATATACAATTCACAGAGCACATGAAGCTCAAGAAGAAGGAAGACCAAAGTGTGGGAGCTTCTGTCTTTCTTAGAAAGGGGAACAAAATACAGGATCAAATATGTAGGCAAAGTGTGGAGCAGAGCTGAAGGAAAGGCCATCCAGAGACTTCCCCACCTGGGGATCCATCCCATATACAGTCACCAAACCCAGACACTATTGCACATGCCAAAAAGTACATACTGACAGGAGCCTGATACAGCTGTCTCCTGAGAGGCTCTGCCAGAGCCTGACAAACACAGAGGGGATGTTCGCAGCCAACCATTGGACTGACCATGGGGTCCCCAATGGGCTCCCCAATGGAGGAGTTAGAGAAAGGACTGAAGGAGCTGAAGGGGTTTGCAACCCCATAGGAAGAACAATAATATCAACCAACTAGATCACCCAGGTCTCCCAGGGACTAAACCACTAACAAAGGAGTACAAATGGAGAGACCCATGGCTCCAGCTGCATATGTAGCAGAGGGTGGCCTTGTTGGGCATCAATGGGAGGAGAGGCCCTTGGTCATGTAGGCTCGATGCCCCAGTGTAGGGGAATTCGAGGGCAGTGAGGCGAGAGTAGGTGGGTGGGTGGGGAAACACCCTCATATAAGCAGTGGGAGGGCGATGGGATAGGGTTTTTTTTTGGTGGAAGGGACCAGCAAAGGGGATAACATTTGAAATATAAATAAAGAAAATATCCAATAAAATAAAACTCCTTTCCCAAAAGTATCTCTCTGAAGCAATTTTCTTCTAATATTCCTAAATATCATCCATATACCAATTTTAAATTTTATAACTACTCCAATGGACATCTCCCGGTGGAAGAGGAGGTCAGACATGGCTCTCTGAGAGCAAACACCCAGGTTTTGGGGGTTATGTAGGGTCCATCCATCGGACTATGGACGGTGCAGTGTCTAAGCATTCCCTTCAAATAGCCTGGCCTTACCAGTCTATGACCAAATTATATGACAGTGCAAGTCAGTTTTATTTATTTTTATTTATTTTGCTTTAAACTTTTTTTAAAAAAGATTTATTTATTTATTTTATGTGTGAGCACTTTGCCTGCATGTATATATGTATACCATGTGAGTGCTTTGTGGCCATGGAGGTCAAAAGAAGGCATCAGATTTTTTCAGAACTGTAGTTAACACATGGTTGTGAATTACCATGTGGGTGCTGGGAATCCAACCTAGGTCCTTGCCAAGTCTCTCTAGCCCCACGTTTAACTGTGAACTCCACACCTGAAAACACAGCTTCAATTGGGAAATTATCAAGATTGAATTGGCCTGTGAGCATGTCTGTGGGGAGCTGCCTTGGTTGTTAATTGATATAGGAAGACCCAGCCCACTGTGGGCAGTATCATTCCCTAGGCAGGGAGTTCTGAACAGTACAAGAGTGGAGCAAGTAAGCAAGGTTCCATGTGTTTACTCTCTGCTCTTGACTGTGGATGTCTTACTTTATGTTTCTGCCTTCCTTGCCTCCAACAACGGACTGAAATTGCTTTTGGTCAAGGTATTTTATCACAGCAACAGAAAAGAAACAAGAACAGTAACCAATCATTCTTTCTAAACTCCTTTATCCTTTTTTAAAAAAATGTCTTATTTTTCAATGTCTGCAGGAAAATAGAGATTCCAAAGACTTTAGTCTATAGTTAACAACTTCTAGTACTTTAAAAATTTTTCTTCTTGCTCACCTTGCTTGACAAACTACTCACTTCTTCAGAATTCACATGTAAATGTGTCCCTAACTGGCTACTGTATTCTGTTAACAGCAAATTTTGAAGTTGAGAGGGGGGATGAGGCCAGAAAGCCCAGGATAGTCATTTACCTTCAGTGAGTTTCATGCTGTTTTCTCATCTCAGCCAATGCTAGAAACCATGAAGCAGTTACTATCATCCCATTTTAAACTGGGGAAATCAGAGCTCAGAGAGGAAAGTTAACTTGAACAAGGTCGCAGAGTAAGGAAGTGACATAGTAGAGTTTAGCATTAGCCCAGATTTCTGCTGTTTCTACAACACTTCCATACAGACTGTATTCTCTCTAGGCAAGATGGGAAACACAATTCTGAGGGGGATTCACACATGAACCTCAGTTTCCTTTCAGGATATACAAGAGGTGTCATCAGGAGCTCAACGGTTGAGTCCTCCTGGTGAGCATTGCTTTCCCATCCAGTGAGCACTGCTTTCCCATCCGTGAGCTCCAAGAGGACTGGGGCCCAAGATGTGAGATGAAGTAGTGTCTGGAGAACCCCAGTGCTGCTCAGCCCTTACTCTGCTCCGGTGCCCACTATGCCCCAGCACTGCTGGCCCTTTAAGGCCAATAATACCCACAGAATGCCCTCCAATCCCACGCAGGACCACACCAGTCCCCTCGGTGTCTGGCTATGCCTACCAGTGTGAAGCTCTTAGGTGAAGCTGCCCAGCGCTTGACCGTGGTGAGCGGCCACTCCTGTAGCACCTCCTTGGTCTTCTCATCCACACGCATGACGGAGTCCTTGGTGATGCCCAGGAGGCGGGGAACCAGCTTGTTCTTGCCTTTCATTTTTTCCTGAAATGAGGGAGGCCAGGGGTCACCAGCATTTCTAGAACACAGAGGGTGTGTTTCGCCTGTGGTCTGTTTACAAACTGGGTATGGCTTTTAGGAAGCCCAGGTGAATAACTTACTGAGACAAAGGAACGGGGCAGGGGGACACTAAGATACTGGATAGACTCACAAAGGTGTGCTGCTTCCTGGAAAGGAGCAATATTCAGCAGGGTTGGTGTGTGTGTGTGCTCTAAAACTGTGTCAGAAAGAAGGGACAGACCTGGAGAGAGACCCCAGTATCCTTCCAAGTATTAGCATCCCAGGAGGCATCGGGTGGGTATAGGATGGGACTATTTCAAGCTATTAAAGTAAACCCAAAGGGCCCAACTGGGATCTTCTCATTATGCAGAGGTATAGACACTTCCCCTTTAAGAAAACATTTCTGCATCCACTTCCACCTGTTGTCCTTGCTTCTGTACATCTATGGGTCTTGATTCTTTATGGTAATGTTTCTAGGATGCTATGTAGCATTTGAAATGTTGTCACTGTGCGCATTCACTGTACATGCTGTGCTGTTATGTAGTTTTCATACAAGTACCCACCCCATCCCCAATTCTGTTTCTTTGAAACAGGGCCCATGTTGGCAGGGAACTCAAAGTAATCATTCTGCCTCAGGTTCCTAAATGCTGGGGTTACAGGTGATTCTAACAGCTGATTTAATAGATTTGAAAAATATAATGGTAGATTCTTTCTTCACACTTATACTAAACCTTGCGACATATTAATAATTCAGGAAGAACACATGGGTGCGTATTTTTGAGACTTCTGGGTAAGAAGCATTGTTCTAGCAGAAACACTGAAAACAGAATAAATGAGAAGAGAAAGGGCTTTAGCTCAATGCACAGATGAAGGGGAGGGAGGAAGCATGAGAGAGAGAGAGGGAAGGTGAGAGGGAGAGAGAGAATAGGAGGAGACAGAGAGGGAGCGAGGGATAAGAAAAAAAGTGCAAGCAAAATGTCTCATGGTAAGAAAGATCAGGAATAAATATTTGTAGCACATATGGCAGTGAAAACTTGATATACCATCTGCGAAATGCTCTTATAATCAGCAAAAACCACCTTCCAAAAATGACGAAGAAAGAATTTACAATCATAAAAATTTAGCAGATAAAATTCCATTTACATCAAACAGTTTTTTGAAAATTAATTCTCAGAATTGACAAGAGAATGAAAGGGATCAATAGTTAATGGAAGTGAAAATGGCAGAGCCTGAGGCAGGGGAGATGGCTCGGCAGTTAAGGACACCCACTTTTTGCAGAGGACCTGGGTTTGTTTCTGAGAACCTAACTCAGGTATGACTCCAGCTCCAGGGAATCTAATTCCTCTGATCTTCACAGGCACTACATTAACACATGTATGCATGAGTGACCACACACATGCATGCATGCATGCACACACGTGTGCACACACACACACACATGCACGGAAACACACATGCCTCTTAAAAAACTGTGAATCCTTTATAGAAGAGACTATGTCAATATCCACCATCCAGAGCCTTAAAATTGTGTCCACTTTGATACAGCTTGCTTTGAGAAATACTTTATTTTTAAAGTTTCAAGTGTATGTAATAACTTTGTCACAAGAAACACAAATGGAGTTTGTCCTATAAAAAGGCTGGAAAGAACTCAATTTCCAATAACAGAAGACTTTATACAAATAAACTATGACACATCCAAAAAACATATTGTAATGCTTAAAAATCATTTTGTAGGGGCAGGAGAAATGGCTCTGCGGCTAACAGCATTTGCTGCTCTTGCAGAAGGAACAAACTTTTGGTTCCCAGCACCTTCAAGACAATTAGCTAATAGCTTCAGTTCCAAGAAATCTGAGAAATCTGACACCCTCATCAGTCCTCCAAAGGTACTCATGAACAGGCATAACACACACACATACACACACACACACACACACACACACACACACACTACCCACCCCAAAAGCACCCATGCCCACAAATGTAAAATAAAAACTTTATAGGAAAATAGACTGTATGGAAGTAAATTATTCATAATATATAAAATAAAAACTACAGGATACATTAGTTTAAACAACAACAGAAATTGTACATATAATAGAGTCAGAGTCTCATGCATCACAGGGTAGCCTCGAAAATACTATATAGCCAAGAAGGACCTGAAACTCCCGATCTTCCTCCCTTCCCCAAGTGTTGGGATTACAGCCACCATACCTGGCTCATGAAACAAAAACTTTAAGAGTTATGTTCCATGAGAAGATGCTGGGAATGGTTGTCTCAGGTGATCTGTACTATTTTCCTTACTGCTAAAATTCTACTTAGGACAGCTTGGCTTTCAGTTCCGTCAGGAAGGAAAACTTTTCACGTGGTATGTGCTGAAACACATATGGCTACACAGCTGTCCTCAGTCACACTGGGTGTACATTCACACTCACGAAGAATGCATGTTTTGGGACATGTACTCATACTGATATTTATGCTTGCACGTAAAGCAGGCCTGAATGTCACTAAAACAAGCATCGGTCCCAGCCCTCAGACTCCACAAGAGTCTGTCATCATGTTTTCCCTTTGTAAATGAAGAGGCTATAAACTTGCTTAAGGAAGACATGGCAAATGGCAAAACCACAATGGGAACAAATGTCTAAGCTTTAACGCACCTTTAGCATGGGGAAGGGGGGTGGCCTAGTACTCAGGAGACAGACAAAGTTCTCTTCAAGCTCGAGGTCAGCCAGGGCTACATAGAAGTCTCTGTCTCAAAATAGATGATAGATAGGTAGGTAGATAGACAGACATACAACAGACAGACAGGTAGAGAGGTAGGTAGATAGATATATAGATAGATGATAGGTAGCTAGCTAGATGATGATAAATATATAGATAGATGATGGGTAGACATAGAGATAGATAGATAGGTAGATAGATAGATAATGCATACATACATACACACACACATACATACATACATACATACATACATACATACATAGATGATGGTGATATAGATAGATAGATGGGTATAGATGGGTATAGATGATAGGTGGATGGATGGTTAGATGGATGGGCAGATAGATACAGAGACAGAGACGACCAGGTGGATAGATAGATAGACCCAGTTTCCTCACAAGGGGAAGACACGGTGGTGTCAGAATGTGTAGTGAATGGGAGAGAACAAAGCACTCTATGACCCTCGAGCCCCCAAAAGATGCTAAGAAGAGTTTAGTTCTTTTAAACAAAGGGTCAATTTCAGGACTAGGATAAATTAAGTAATAACATATATGGCATGAATTCAATCTTGTTGTCAGTGGTCAACCACGATAACCTATTTTAGAGGACCCTAGGGCTCTGAATTTACCTCTAGGAATGTCAGGGACACAAGCAAGACAGAGCAACCTGGAGGCTCATGGGAGCAGCCTGGAGGCTCATGGGAGCAGCCTGGAGGCTCATGGGAGCAGCCTGGTGCACATGCCCTGAATTCACGTGCCGCGGTTAGATTTAAGTCACAACTAGCCAGATGCCACATCTGTCAGTGCTAAGGTTCTAACCAAGTCGAACTTATTTACTGAAGAGAGCAGGGAAGACCCCAGTAAAACCCTGATGCCACACTGGCCAACTCACCTTCACCAGGAAAAAGGACACCCCGTATGTCCGGAGGGACCGGGCGAGTTTGACATACTTCACCTTGGCTTCTATTTCACTCATCTCTCCACAGTTTTTATGTTCCTGCAAAAGCAACAGTGAGGGTGGGGGTGGGGATCTGTTACTGTAGTCTGCCATCAGGTGGACTCAGTAAGGTGAGGTACAAAGGGACCAGAGTGAGTGACATTTCTGCATGCGGTCTCTCCTGCCCCCATGACACAGGTTTATGCTGACTGAGGTCTAATACAAGTTGAAAGTTTAAGTGTAGGGCTTCCCAAATAGGTCTCGCTGAGTGCAAGGGTCCAAGCCCATCTGCGCATGCCAGGAGGAATGCCCACAAGTACAACATCCTCAAAGAACCCAGTATCCCAAAGAGCTCAGGGTTCATATTTTCAATAACAGCAAGAAAGACATCCCTCTAGGACAGGTAGGGGTCCTTCTACCATAGATTCAGAATATATCTCTTCTTCCGAGCAAGGCTGAACATGTCTGAACATCAAAGTATTTGGAAATGATAATGAATAAAAATGTTTTATACACACACAATTTATATTATAGTTTCTATTTCCATTTCAAAGTCAAACAAGATTGAGGATTTGGATTCACTGGAGTGTTTCAAAGTCACATGGACAGCCCGACTTCCTTGGCAACTGTCTAGGATAGACAAAACACGGACTTGAAAAATAATCCAAGATTTTCAAAAGGCAAAAGCTTCTCAATTCTAGCTTCAAAAACTGAATCTCAGGACAAGGGGCTCTTTGTGTCTTCCACAGCTCAGCTTGGTGGCTGTCACCTTATTTCAGTGCTACCAGAAGCATACCTTTGAAAATAAATGTATGCACATTTTTTTCTCAGAAGAGCTAAGTAACCTTTAGCAAGAAAGTATGAATTAAGATAATTAATCAGCCCAGGGTAGAGCTGTCCAGCCCCATCCTCTCAAGTCAGCCATCAGTCATTATAGAAGTGGGCTTGCCCTGGGTACCACACCCCATGTATGGGATGCTCCTGTCAGAGCAGATGAGGATGGAGGGGAGAGAAAGAATATGTTTCTGTACATTTCCAGTACCTGAAATATCCGCTTCTCGGCTCCTCTCTGCTTGATGTATTCTTTTGGCAGGAATTCCTTTAGACTGAGAAAGAAAGGGGGAGAGAGACAGCGTTTATCACACACTATGGTGGGAAGCAGAGACTTAGTAAAACTCTCAGTTAAGTCACTAACACTCCTATTATTTTATGGCACAATTAATATAACTGCACCTAGGACGACCTTAAAGATAAAGGCAGATGTGAAAAAAGAGAGAACAAACAAAAAAAAAAGGTTCAGTTGATGTATTTGAAGGAGGAAGGTCCAGCATACACTGTCAAGTGAAAGACAAATGGGGCCAACATGTACAGTACGCATGATTTTGCAAGGCAGGGGAGAGAGTATTTTTACTGTAAAAACATTTTTTTATATCTCAAAAAATGTAAGCAGCTTAATATTCTTAAGAAATCAAGGGAGACTGACTCTAAAAATGAAAACGGTTTTCCCTGGGAAGAGGAGGGGAAACCAGAATGGACCAGACGAAACCACACTGGTCAGCATACCTTGTACTAGGGTTTTTTCACAAAACTACAGAGAAATAGCTACAAATCTAAAGCAAACTAGCACAAACTTAACCACATGTCATGTTGACAATACTGCTACAAGAAAAATAGTGTCTCCAAACAATCTTGGAAAACAGTCCTTTGATGGTACATTCTAGTGAGATAAACCTTAAGATGAACAAAAGACACATGAATCAAAATATTGACTGTAATAGTAAAATTTATTATTTATCTATTATCATTTCCTATGTTGCTATAATTGCACATGCATGAATGTGACGTGTATACGGGCACACATGTCACCGTGCACATGTGGAGTTGTCTGTTCTCTCCTACTTTTACATGGGTTAGGAGATGACTTTCTGGCTAGGGCCCTAGCAGGACAAGAATCCCATTCTGAATGCCACCCAAGGTCACAGTGCCAGCTCTAGCTCACCCACTCACGGGTTCCAGAGACACTGACTTAGCCACCGCACACCTGACACCTTCAAGTTACCCTTCAGCCTCCAGGCATCCTATGAGAGCAGAATTTCAAAGCCTGTAGAGAGGCAGGGAATGAAGGGGACCACCCAATCACACAGTAAGGGGGGGCGCGGTGTCAGGTGGCTTTTTTTTTTTTTTAACTGCTCAGAAGCTGCAGGAATCAGAAGAGAGATCTGGAAGAAAACCAGATCCAGACTCACTGATGCTCACTGCAACTTCAGTTTCCTTCCTTTTAAGGGTAAGTGGCAATTTAACTTCTATTGTTTGTATTTGAAGGTCTGTAATATTTTCTGATAGGCAGACATATTGGAAGGGTTACTGTAGTCAAGCAAACTAGCATCGCTTTTATCCCACGATGGTGGTGTGCACAAATTTCCAGTAGACGATATTAACTAAGGTCCCCGTGAGCGACATTTGCTCTTTAGTCATTTACCTGAAGAACTGAACCTCTGCTCTTTGCCTGCCATCCTACCTCCAGCTTCCCCACCCCCACCCTGGAAACCATGTTCCTACCATCTCTATCTGCTTTCTTGATATTCTTCCTCCCTCCCTCCCTCCCTCCCTCCTTCCCTTCTTCCCTCCCTCCCAGCTAAGATTCGAGCCCAGGCCTTGTACATGGTAGGCAGGTATCTATCAATGAGTTACATCTCTTTCCTCCAGATGCTATATTCTTCGTCTTGCTAATTTCATTTATATCTCTTTAGGTTCTTCTGTGTTATCAAACGAGCAGGGTCACCTTAAAGGCTGATTACCATGTTGCTGTACATATAATGAAACCCCATTTTCTTAAGCAAAATCAAAGCAGCCCCAACTAGCAATTCCAAGTCTCCTGATGCGGCTGCACATGGCAGGGAAGCTCTAGGGAAGTTGCTACGGCTGGGAAAATGTTGTCTTCCTGTGTCCTAGAACTGTCACCAACGAGGCAATCCCCATCTTCAGACTGGAGTCATCACCTGAAGACCAAAGATGATTGACACTGCTTATATTAATTGACAAGAATGTGCCCAGTTACAGTATTCGCCAGGCATAGGTTACAGGGGTGGAGAAGTGGCAGGGATGTGGTAGTGACGGTGTCACCAAAGGACACTGGGAGCCAGTTTTGCTTTCGCCTCTGTCTTAACGCTGAGTCAGCAAATACTCACAACTGCATCCCTAGTTGGTATTCCAGAAGCTTCTCTGAGTGTGGTCTCTGGACCAGTGGCCTCAGCACCAACCAGGAACCTGATAGAAATGTCAACATTCAGCCTCACCCAGACCTGCTTAAGAGGCTCAATCGAGAACAGAGTGGCATATGTCAGCAAGCTCTGGTTCTGAGAGACAGAGGAACCACAAGCAGTGGCCACGTAGCTCTAATTACAAACCAGAAGTACTCGGACTTGACTCCAGGTTCCAGGATCACAACGTCTGTGTGACTGAGAGTCCTGGGTAAGCTCTGGTGGTTTGCGGAATGCCCATGGCTTGAAGGATGTCCTGGATGACTGGGGATGCCTGGAGTGGTCACAAAAAGTGACTGTCCTAAGACGAGGATGAGGAAGACACACAGCCCATCCATAACAATATAGCCTGGCTCACTTACAAAGAGCAGAAAGCTGTGTCTCACAGCTCTGCAGCCCGGGGTGTGTGACATCAAGGTGATTCTATGTTCAGTCATCTGGGGAGGGCTGACCCTGGGGAAGGACACTGGGTCCTCTTTATAAGGGCCCTGACTGGATCCTGAGGCCCCAAAGGCATGGTTCTAATGGCCTCATGGCATCCTAAAGACCACTCTTGCTAAGTCCAGAACATGGGTAATCCCTGAAGTGTGGAAGGGATCCCTTAATCATAGCGGCTAGTAAGAAGCACAGGCACTGGGCCTGAATATCTCTGCCACATCAGTACAGTTCTGTGACCCCGAACTAGTCCAAACACCTTTTAAAGCCAGCCCAGGCCACTGCCCTGAACTCAGAGCCAGCCTGGTGGCAATACAGATCGTGCTGGTTTGCTTTGATCCTGAGTTTGGAAATCATCAGGCAGGGAAGCAGGGCCCTTAGGAGGCAGGGCAAGGGACAGACACTGAGTCATTTAACCACCCTGGCAGTAGGGCTGGGAGATTGTGAGATTCACAGAATAGGTAAAAAAAAAAAAAAAAAAAAAAAAAAAACAACCCTCTTTTCTTTCTGCCACCGCCATGCCATCCAGACTGAGGAAGACCCGGAAACTCTGGGGCCACGTGAGCCGTGTCCCCAGCCACATTGGTAAGCACTGCAAGCACCCAGGAGGCCGCAGAAACACTAGAGGCATGTCCCACCACAGGATCAACTTTGACAAACATCATCCAGGTTACTTCAGGAAAGTTGGTTTGAGGCATTACCACTTGAAGAAGAACCAGAGCTTCTGCCCAACTGTCAACCTGGATAAATTATGGACGTTGGTCAGCGAGCAGACGCGGGTCAACCCAGCCAAAAACAAGACTGGAGCTGCTCCCGCCATTGCTGTTGTTTGATCAGGCTACTACAAAGTTCTGGGCAAGGGAAAGCTCCCTAGGCAACCTGTCATCGTGAAGGCCAAATTCTTCAGCAGAAGAGCTGAAGAGAAGATTAAGAGTGTTGGAGGTGCCTGTGTTCTGGTGGCTTAAAAGCCACTCTGGGGGTTAATTAAATGCTAACATTTCCCGTGTGGTCTTTGCTTCCTTCCTCATCTACATGTTGGGAATCTGCCTAACATTCTAGGAAGATGTGGGGCAATAAATGCAATAAATGTAGCCCACTATTGTAAATTCAAAAAAAAAAAAAAAAGAAACAAACAAGGAAACTCTGGAGCAGACAAGTGTCTCTTCCTGCATTTTACATTCAATGTAGTGGGGCAGAGAGGGTGAGGTGCAGGGTGCAAGGCACAGCTGAAGAAGAGGCTGAAAAGCCTCCTTTCTGGTTATTTTGGAAGCACGGGCTCTAGCCAAGGATTCCACAAAAGCACAGCAGCTCTGAGGGGGGAAGCCGTGTTTGAACTGGTGCCAGCTTAAGAACTGAGATTCCTGACCGAGCCGGGAGCCTTGCTTGTTTTCAGTAGAATTATCTAGAGTTTGTGGGGGAAATTTTCCAAGTACACTCCGAATTCTTTCAGAGCACAGATTCATGTGCTGGGCTGCTTTGTTTTCTCAGCAAATACTTGCCTGGAACAGCCACATAGGGAACAGAGGCTCCTCCAGTAAGCATGAACCTGTGGCTTCCTTCGCCTGTTATGGACCTGCCCACCCTCCCCTCCACCAACGGACACTCCATTCACACAGGCGCAGAGACCCTCTTTGCCTGGCATGAATACCTAACTTCACCTTTGCCAAGTGCTTTATCCCTACTCTCCGTGAGAAGGCCAGGCTCCCATCTCAAACCTGGATTACTGCAACTACCTTTTGAAAAGTGATGCTAACTATGAAATTTACATCCCTGCCATGAAGAGATCCATGTTCATGGTACCACATTTGCTCTGTTGTGTGTGTCTGTGCATACGACTGTGTGGCACATGCACACAGATGTCCTACTCTACCACTCTCTACTTTATTCCCTGATAACAAGCGTCTCTCAATAAGCTTGGAGCTAGACTGGCAGCCAGTAGGCCCCAGGTATCCTCCTGCCTCTGTACCCTACCCCCAATACTGCTCTTGGTTACTGGCTTGGGTGGCCACATGGTTGCTGGGGATTTGAACTCAGGTCCTTGTGCTTGTATAGCAAGCACCCTTACCTACTTACCTACCCTCTCTTCTTTTTTAAGACAGGGTCTCATGTAGCCCAAAGTTCACTAGGTAGCCAAGGATGACCTTGGGCTTCTAATCTTCCTGCCTCCTCCTGAGTCCTGCCTGGGTTTGCAGGCATGTGCCATCAAATCTGGCTCCTTCTCCGTATCTCTGATAGTAGCTATTTTCTTGGAGTTTGTTCTCAGGAATATCTTATCATAGTCTTATGCCTCCATGTATCTGTGAATAATAATCCATCCCGTCTCTCTTTGTGGATGTAGTTTTAAACACAAGAGGCATCTTCTGGGATGTCTTGTTTCCTCTGAGAAGTCACTCATGTTTTCATACATTCTG